TCTGCAGCGACCTCCATCGGCAGGCGGCAGATCGGCCAGCATCTACTCGTCCCACCTCAGCGCCGCTTCCCGCTCCACCCCCGACCTCCACAACACCTCCGTCACCCGCCATCGCGACAATGGCGCCCTCCTCATGGACCTCGCCTCCCCCTTGCCCTCCATCGCCAACCGTCGACCCAATCCTGACGCTGCACAAGCCCACTCGCCTCTCGTCGTTCGCAACCTCGACGAGGCGCCACGCGGCACCTTTACCCCTTCCATCCCAGCGCCGTCCGCCTCTGCTCAGCTTCGCACCGTCTCGCGACTCCGCAATCCTTGGTCCGCCGCAGATTCTCCGCGCATCCAGTCCGAAGAAGACGACAACGTCGACGCATCCATCGCGCACGATCGCTCCACCAACCAGATCGACCCCGCAGAGCGCGCCGTGCTCGACATGCTCGACTCCGCTTCCGGCGTCGGCAGCGCAGTATCCGCCCCCGTCCCGCCCACGCCCTACCATACTGCCACCCCGGGCACTCTCGCCAGGTCACGATCCTTTGCCACAACAACAAAGTTCGACAGCCCCGCCTCCGAGTACAGCCAAGACTTCCGCTCCCCCTTCCTCGCCGGCACATCCTCGCCCGCTGCAGGTGTCAGGGCCGCAATCCGCCAGCGAGAGCTCCTGGATTCCAACGCAGGCAAGCCCGCCTCGCCCGCGCCAATCCCGCACAGTCGCTCCGCCCTCTCCCCAAAGACGATGGCCTTCCTCGATGCCGTCTCCACTGCCGATACAGAGCCCATCCGCGCTAATCAGACCTCCTCCGCTTCCTTCTACCAGCGAGGTGCATCCGCATCCACCTCGGATGTCAGGCCGAATGCGGCAGGCTCTGGCTTCAAGCGCATCTCCCGCGTACCCGTGCCGCAGCCCGAGGTGCACCTCGCATCGCCACCCACATCCGCCAGCTCCAACGTTTTCCCCAGGCGCGGCACCAATGCTTCCACACACTCGCATCTGCCCATCTCGCCCATGGACAGCAGCCTCCTCGGCTCCTCAGCGCACGCCACCAGCCTCTGGAGCAGGCCAGGCAACATGCCAGACACTCCTTCCACTTCTCAGGACGTCACTTCGCCCACGCCCTGGTCCGCCAACTCGCTCGCTCCCAACAAGCACCACACCCAGTCGCACGAATCCCAGTCGGCGAGGGGCATGTACGCGCTCGAGCCCGTCGTCACTCCGAGCGAGGTCGAAGAGGACGAGGAGCGCCTCTCGGACACTCTGCGCCCCAGCAGCATCATGCCCAAGCTGCGAAGGAACCAGACCGACTTTACAGAGGCCACCAGCATCTTTTCTGGTGCAGAGGCCTTCCGCACCTCGGAGAACAGTCTGCAAAAGGAGGCCATCGCCGAAGATCCTGCGCCTGCTACTACAGAGAATGCAACAGACGCCGAGGCGCCAGCGTCGACATCGTGGATCGCTGGAGCTCGCCCGCTTTCCCATGTCGGCTCGGTCTCCAGCTCTCTGGCTGCGCTCAGAGGCATCATCACCAAGGCTGCTTCGTCTGCACTTCCCCTGACCGGCGCAGCTGCAGCCACATCGGATTCGCCATCCAGACCAACGACAAGCGGCGACACCGTGTCCGCCACCTCGGTCGCCGCAGCCACCAAGGAATTCGAGCAGCGCTTGACCAGCTCGAGACCCTCGAGTCCCGCGAAGCTCTCCATCCCTTCGTCCCCGACCAAGGCCAAGGACCTCATCAGGATGTTCGAGAGCACGTCGGGCTCAGCCTCGCCTTCCGATCTATCGCAGTCCATCTCCCGCAGCAGGCTTTCCCCCACAAAATGCACGCCTTCGGCTACCAGCAGCCTCAATAACACGCCCAAGCGTCCCGCGCCCCTCGCCCTTTCCATCTCCAGATCCAACCTCGGCCTCGCAGCTTCACCCGCGGCGTCCGAGCTGGCCACAGAGGAGGCATCTCCCGTGGCGACCAAATTGCGCGCGCAGCGATACGAGGCCGGCCGGTTCCGAGCAAGACGTGCCGGTCTGATCGGCGTGGGAGGTGCAGGCGATGACGCCAGCTTTGCAGACGACAACGACGATGACGGCGCCGACGAGAACGCAGCACCCGAAAGCGTCTTTGGCGAGACAAGGAGCGTCAGTGGCCGATTCCGCTCGCTCGGCGTCGCCTCGCAGCACACGCGCTCGCTGTCCACCCCAAGCGACATCAATGGAAACGTACTCGGTGGCGGAACGGTGTCCTCTCCGCCCAGACCCAACCCGATCGGCGGCCGGTCCGGCGCTGCATCGCACGACAGAACTGGCTCGATTGGCACCAATGCCGGCAGCTTGAGCAGGAAGGGCGCCTTCCGCAACAGCGTCATCGGATTCATGGGCGTCCTGTCTGGCAAGCCCACAACAGGCGGACCGGGAGACGGGCGTGCACCTGGTTCCAGCGGCCAGACGCTCGCGCCCAGCTTCTTGGCAGAGCGAAGGCACAGCGCCAAATCCGACCAGGACGACAACGTCAGCACTGCCAGTGCTGCCACCCAGGGCACCACCGCCTCTTACCGCCGCAAGAAGGAAGAGGGTAATCTGCCGCTCACCAGCACGACCGCCATCCAGATGTCGGGCGAGCAGCCGGGCACCAAGCCCATCCGTGCAGGCGTGCTCTACTATTTCAACGTGCACGACCCCAACCCACGTTGGTTGCGCGTCAAGGCGGTGCTCCTTCCGTCGGCTGTAGCGATGAGCTGGATCCCCAGCGGCGGCGGAAGGGAGAACGTCGTGCTGGATCTGAGGGCGTGCCGCGAGGTGCATTCGGTTCCCAGTCCCGATCACCCGAGCAGCACTTCCGACATTGGCGCCGCATCCGCACGCAGACAGGGGCTCGGCCAGATCAGCCCCTTCCAGCTCATCTTTGACGATGGCGTCGAGAGGCTCGCCGCCGATACCGCCAAGGAACGCGTGCAGTGGGTCAGCGCCGTATGGGACGTCACAGGCACGAGAAGCCCCAAGGCCGACAGCATGCACGAGTCGGCAACCGCCAACTCGGGCCACGATGCCCTGCCTAAGTCTAGCTCGTCGCCAAAGGCCAGTAGCAGGCCCATGGCAGATGCGAGCCCTGCGAGGCCGCTTGTTTCTTCGCTCGGTGCCGGTGTGGCTGGAACGCCAAAGAAGCCTGCGTCAACGAGCAACGAGGAAGCCATCGACCGCATCGGGTCCATCTGGAAAAGCGAACTCTCGTCCGAGCTCACGTCCAAGGACATGCATCCGAGCTTTGGCGAGGCACTGGCAGCCGCCGCATCGCCACCGCCGCCACTGCCACCCAAGGAACCGAGACCAGCACTCGCACTGGCTGCGCTCGGCCAGGCTTCCAAAGCATCACCCTCGAGCAACACTCCAAGCTCGCAGTCGCCCGGCGCCAGGACGACGGCGGCGATCCCGATCAGGAGCTCCGCCAGTCCCGTTCGCGCAAAGGTGCGCAGCTGGCAACGGCCGCCTCTCGATCTCAGCACCGGCTATGTGCACGACCTCACGCCCAAAACCCCTACCTTAGTGAATCCGCCTTCGGACGTCATCCACTCGACACCAGCTTCGTACGGCGAGGACAAGAGCACTGCTGCATCGGCGCTGGAGGGATCCGCTCGACCTTCGGTAGCGGACCAGGCAGGGCCTGAGGATGCTCACAACAAGACCGCGGCCAACGACGCAGCCGACGAGATCTCTCCGGCGTCGTCCCCGGACATGGACGGCTACGAGTCGGCGCGCTCGCAGGGCAGTTTGGTGGACGAGTTCGGACCGCGGACGCCCGTCAGCGAGGCGGTGTTCAATTGGACGCGTTTGGACAAGGTGTCGGATCTGGATCCGAGCGACTCGGCCTCGCAGCGTCCCGCTCGAAGCGAGTACGGGACGATCAAGAGCAACGTCTCCGGCGCGGAGCGCAAACGCAGCACTCGCAAGAAAGGCGACGAAAAGGAGACCACGGACGCGGCTAAGGACGCTGCAGAGGGGTCAGCTGGAGCTGCAGCTTCGCGCACGCCAGCTCAGTTGCTGCGTGACAGCGTCCTTGCTGGGTCGGCTGAGGGCGCGATTGACTCGGATGCGCTCTTCAATGCCTCGCCCGCAGGCAGTCGCCATCGCCTCGGCACGGTCATCGAAGAGACGCAGTCGCAAGCCCAGAGCACGCGCATCAACGCCTCGGTGCGCAGCAACAATCGCAGCAAGCTCGACGATCTCGTTGCACGCGCCATTGGCACAGGCTCGGTCAAGTCGCCTGCGGCCAAGAGCGCGCTCTCGCTCGTATCTAGCGGCAGTATCAGCTCGCGCGACGTGGGCAAGCTGCTCGAGTATCTTGAAGAACAGCAAAAGGAGCGCCTCAGCCGCGAGAAGGAGCTCGAGGACCAGATTCGCGGCTTCCAGCAGGTCGTCTCGGACCTTCAGAAGAAGGGCTCGACGAGCGGCTCGCACCGCTCTGCCAGGAGGAAGAGTTCGACGAGCTCGCTTGGCGGAGAGAGCAAGGCTACCGCCAGGTCCGCCAGGGATTCCGAACTCGCAGCCATGCAAGAGAAGCTCGACAAGGTGCTCGACTTGGTCACCAACGTCGTTGCGAGCCCCGTGATGCACAAGCGCGCCAAGAGCGAGTCGGCGACTATGCTCACCGCGCACGACGGCGAGGATGCCGAGCTGGCACGCATGGAAGGCGTGCTGGCCAAGCTGCTGCGAAAGATGCATGTCTCCGAGGACGTCAACATGACGCCAAGGTCGCAGGCGCTCGTGCGCGCGGCGATCGAGTCGCGCGACCCGGCGCTGATGGACGAGTGGGACCGCATGCCCGTCGAGCTGCGTGGTGAGGAG